TGGAGTTTCCTCTGCTGTTTTCTTCTCAACTCTTAACTCTTCCATGAGACTGTACTCTCTCCACTTTTTTTAAACGATCTTCTCCTAGACCATATCAGTAAGCTCCCTCCCTACTCCACCATTTTAATCCAATCCTCCATAATGGACTTCTTTCTCTTTACTGTGCCATGGCACAATAGATCTAGCTGTAAAATGGTATTATAGCTTATATAGTTATACATATAAATTATATAATAATTTTCTAGCATGGTTCTTTGGTTCTCTAATTTATGTTGTAGCCATAAAATACTACAGAAAAATATTGGGAAACAGAAGAAAAATATTGGTTATTTTTTAAAGTCTGGACATCAAATTGTGACCAATTTTTGAGAATGCATCCTAGTGGAGAAGTATGTGATATGGGAGGTCAGTTTCCCACCTGGAAGATAATAGGGAAGACAAGGAGTCAGGTGTCCCTGAGTTCAGGTTTATCCGTGAAAGAGAGGGGAGAGAATAGGTATTCCTGCTTGGTCTACTTGAGGAAGAACTAGTGTTTTTTGCCCTTGGCTTTACAGACTTAACTAGTTCTTACTGAGTAGCCTGACCTCCTGGGTTTATGGACTTTACTGTCCTTCAGTGCTTAATCTGACCTTGACCATCTTTAAGTCTCTTTTCCAGGAGTCTTCCCCCATATGTCATGGTGGTGGCATTGACTCTGAAACCAGGTTCCAAGAGCAGGGGTTGACTCAGGCCCATCAGCAGCACTGTCAGTGGGGAAATCCTGAAGATTATAAAATGCTCTGATACTCCTATTTCACAACCTGATAATGCATTTTATATACTAGCTATTGTCTATTGCATGTATCATTTGGGATTCCCAGAGATCTGGCTGGAAATCTGAAAGTCAAAGAAATCAATTTAGGACTTTGAATCTAAAAAATTGTCTGAAATCTAGAACACATAGTCAAAGTAGACTCTTAGATCATTATAAAAGAAAGAAGCCATATAATCCAGGTGTTTTAACCAGATCTGTGGGCTGGATTTAACCAGGTAATAAGGTAATAACTCAAATATTTAAAAATAAGCACATATCTTAATTCCTTTAAGACTCAGCTTTCTCCAAGCAGTCAAAACTCAATAGAGATGGCATAGAATACAAGAGACCTTCATAAAACACAAAAATCCTTGTTTCCCAGGTCAATTACAAAAACAAGGAAAATCCCTGATTAAGAGGAAGCACATGACATTATCCCATTTCTTACAGCAGTTAAATACAACAAGAAAGAAAGAGGCATAAAATCAGATAATCTTATTATCTGGACTTCTAAGTTGAAGAAGAGTCACCAATTTAATGCAAAAAACTAGTCTGGAATATAAAAGAATTAAAACTATTTTGAAATTAAAAGATTAAAACTTCCTGTGACCTTTTATTAGCAGAAAACATTATAGCTTTATTAAGACTCAGTTTTAAGAAACCATATGATTTTCTATTAAAAAAAAAAACCATATGGCTCCTTGTCTCAGCCAACCTAATATTTCACAGAGCATTCAACTTCCAGAAACCCTCTGTAACATTCCCTCAGTTCCTCTTTCTTCTTGTAGAACATCAATCATTTCTTTATCTGAAACATATTATTTCTTTTTTAACTGTCTGCACCAAGAATACATTTTCATGCATATAGCTTTCTCCACAGCTCTCCCTCCTACCAACTGCTTTCTTAATTCAGACCCTGAATCAATTACCTAACATCTCTAAATTAATAGAAAATATTTTTAAATAAAAGAACATACAAACTTGTAACTTATAGTTAATTTAATGTAGATTTTGACATTTAGAGGAATTAAGTAGGAAACAGATAATGTTTTTGTCTTTGTTGACACTATTTTATTTTATCAAAGTATTGTAAGTGGTGGAAATCCCAGGAAAATATTTAAGCCTAAAAGACAAAATATTTCTGTATAGAACCAACAATGTTTTTGGTAAAAGACAAAGCTCCATGAATCTAATTGCAAGTATTTTCAGAGAAGAATCAGAACTGTGGATGATAAAAGACTTAAAATAGCCATGGTCACAATTATAACAACTGAGCAACTTACAGCGTTTGAGAAAGAACAGCATGGTTTCATAAGCTATTTTATACTTTCAGGCCTCAGGACCTATAATGGGAGGTTGAGGCAGTGGCAATCAGAGAGTTCTATGAATTTAACAAGGTATATATTGGCCCCAGTTGTGGAACAGAGAGATCTTAATAGGTACACACAGGAACTTTCATCATTTAGCAAGTGAGAAAATGGAAATTCTTTGGGTAAGAGAGGCCAGGAGATCTGCCCTTGCTAATCTGGAGAAGCTTAAGAGGGAATTGGAAAATATGGCCCTGTAGGGTGTCTGGTTAGTGAAAAAAATAGCATTTTAAGATGAACCATCTTAAGACCAGTTCTTGCCAGGTTTTTTTTTTTTTTTTTTTTTAATGGTGGCAAAGGAGGCAGGGGAAAAGCTACATGTTGCTTCCTTTAGTACAGAAGCAATAAGTAAAGATCTTAGGGCTGTCTGAGACAAGGTGTTGGACCTCAGTTACTGAACAGACACAACATCAGCCTTCCTCCCCCTCCATGCCCACGTGGTGATATTTAAGATGAAGGAGCAGTGGTAGTGTACTGACACTGGGCAGGTCGTAAGCAAGATAGGGAGGGCCACAAGGGCCTGGGTAGTGAGTTTGAAAGAGAATTGGCCTTGGTCTGTGGTAAAGTATTCCTGACAGGAGTTGGCAGCAGGGAGTAGACAGGTCTGTGGCTTCACGGTGTGCCTATGGTGTGTGGATATTGTTTTTAGACTGGTGTGTCCACTGCAATCTTATGTATTTCACATCTGCCTTATTTTACTACAGAAGTCTCCTTGCAGCAAGAACCCTATGTCCTTGCCCAGTGCATCACTGTGTGAGTGCAATCAAAAGAGACTGAGGCTGAATCAAGCAAGACAGACACGGCAGGGAAAGGCCAAGGTGGCTAGTGTATAAGAAAGAAGGTGGGCAAGCCTTGGTCTCTGTAAAATGTTGCTAAAAGGGCTCACTGTAGAGTGGGCAGATGTGTGGTTTTAGGACGTGCCTATGGATTGTGAACTTTGTCTTCAGGCCAGCTGGGTGCCTAGTGCAATCTATCCCATTCCACACCTGGCTTATCCTGCCACAGGAGTCTTTTTTTGCAGTGAGAACACTAGGTGGCATTTAACTGTTTGCCCTGTGCAAGTTTGGGTGAAGCAAAAAGAGATCATGGATGCCACTGATCAAGACAGACAATGAAGAAGAAAGAATAGAAGTAGGCTGCCCATGGAGCATTCCTCAAGTTCACAGGTGAGGTTGCTCAGGACTTATCACCACTCTCAATGACTCCTGGCTGGCTCACCATGAAAGATGTTACTGGAACAGAGGTTCTTGTGCCTGTAAGACAAGACTTGCAGATGTGAGATCAAGATTGGGAATAAGTCAGTTAGTGAAGTTTAATGAAGAGAATATACCTGTCAGGCCAGGTGGGCAACTCAACAAACAACCGAGTACCCAGTGTGCGTTCAGGCTGGAGTTTTTCATAGGTATTGGCCCACACCATTTCTCCTCCCCGTTCTTTGGGATATTGCTGGCTGGAGGAATTTCTGGGTGTGGAATTCAGGAAATACCTCCCAGGGCTTTGTCAGTGCAATATTATTGGATCAAATAGCCCTCTTAGTCCTGGGCTGAGAAGAGTCCCCTGAGATATCCCTGGGGGAAGGCTGGAACCCACCCTACAAGGTTAGACATGGGCAGAACTTTCTTTTCTTTTTTTAAAAAAATTTTTAGAGTTTTTTTTTTAAAAATTTGAATGGCAGAGTTACAGAAAGGCAGAGAGAGAGAGAGAGAGAGAGAGGTGGGGGGGTCTTCCTTCCACTGGTTCACTCCCTACATTGCTGCAATGACTGGAGTTGGGCTGATCTAAAACCAGAAGCTAGGAGCTTTTTCTAGGTCTCCCATGCCGGTACAGGTGCCCAAGGACTAGGGCCATCTTCTACTGCTCTCCCAGGCTGTGGCAGAGAACTGGATTGGAAGTAGAGCAGCCGGGACTTGAACTGGAGTCCATATGAGATGCCAGCACTGCAGCTTAACCCACTATGCCACAGTGGTGGCCTCATGGGCAGGACTTTTGATGTGTAAATGCTGAGCTGCTTCCCACGTATGCTTGTACATTTTTACCTTCATTCAGTTGTAGGAATTTCCCATTTTATTTCCTTCAGCCTCTTTTCACGCATGGTCTAATGTTTGCCTACCTAACAGAATCCTGAAAAAAATTAATGTTATAAATGAAATTAACATTTAGGAAATAACAACTGAAATAACAGCTTTGAATCTGTAGGCTTTAAATACACAAACTGCTTTGGCCAACCAATTCAGCAGCTATGTGGAGCGGCAACAATGCCCTAGCTGTTTTCAGGCCAGTGTGTTGAGCTCTGTGCTTCATAACAGCCCATCCAGACATCACATTCCTGCATCCTCCAGACCCCGAGGATACTCCCCATAGCTGCTTGTGTACCTCGAAGTCCATGGGTCTTGAAGCCAAAGAACACAAGTCCTCAGATGCCAGGCCTACCCTCTTCCTCATCAGTAGGGGCAAGCTGAGAAGGATGAGGCTGAGAAAAGATCAGGGGCTTTAATAGGGGATATGGAGTTGACATTTGCAAGGGCTTTAGCTATTCCTAGAGGAGTGAGAAGCATCACTAGGGTGTGTACTAAGCTGACTCCTGGCTTCAGCCTCCCTGCAGGGATTCACCAACATCCTCTTCCCAGAGTGAGGTTTTCCTAAGTGCCACTGCTCTTCTTTTGTGGTTTTAAGTTGACAAGGAATATGTAGAAAATTGGGAACTTATGGGGAACTATAGAGAACATGACATACAAACTCAGAACTCTGGAATTTCTCTGACTTGCCTTTTGTTGCTGCTGTTAAATTAGAGTGACAACTGGCATCAGGATATGTTTTGTGTGTATGAAATTATTTTAAGAAAAGTAAATGAATGCCCTTTCCGCACTACCCGGCCAGGGGTCCATACGGCGTTGTTTTTGATTCCCGGCGTAACTTAAGGGGAAGCTGTCACAATGTCCGGAGCCCTTGATGTCCTGCAAATGAAGGAGGAGGACGTCCTCAAGTTCCTTGCAGCAGGAACCCACCTAGGTGACACCAACCTTGACTTCCAGATGGAACAGTACATCTACAAAAGGAAGAGTGATGGCATCTACATCATCAATCTGAAGAGGACCTGGGAGAAGCTGCTGTTGGCGGCTCGTGCTATTGTGGCCATTGAAAACCCTGCTGATGTCAGTGTGATATCCTCCAGGAACACTGGCCAGAGAGCTGTGCTGAAGTTTGCTGCTGCCACTGGAGTTACTCCCATTGCTGGCCGCTTCACACCTGGAACCTTCACTAACCAGATCCAGACAGCCTTCCGGGAACCACGGCTTCTGGTGGTTACCGACCCTCGGGCTGACCACCAGCCTCTCCCAGAGGCATCTTACGTGAACCTGTCTACCATTGCTCTGTGTAACACAGACTCACCTCTGCGCTACGTGGACATTGCCATCCCGTGCAACAACAAGGGAGCCCATTCAGTGGGTCTGATGTGGTGGATGCTGGCCCGGGAGGTTCTGCGCATGCGTGGTACCATCTCCCGTGAACACCCCTGGGAGGTCATGCCTGATCTCTACTTCTACAGAGATCCTGAAGAGATTGAAAAAGAAGAGCAGGCCGCCGCTGAAAAAGCTGTGACCAAGGAGGAGTTTCAGGGTGAATGGACGGCCCCAGTGCCCGAGTTCACTGCTACTCAGCCAGAGGTTGCTGACTGGTCTGAAGGCGTGCAGGTGCCCTCTGTGCCTATTCAGCAGTTCCCCACTGAGGACTGGAGTGCTCAGCCTGCCACTGAAGACTGGTCTGCAGCGCCCACTGCTCAGGCCACCGAGTGGGTGGGAACAACCACTGAGTGGTCTTAGGCTGCTTGTCACGTGCTCTCACGCAAACATGGAAATGAGGTTGACAGAAAATAAGCATCAGTTTCTACAGACACACACACAAAAAAAGTAAATGAATGCATCTTTTGGATTTACGGTGGAACAACATTTTGTCCCTTTGTACAGGAAGGAGAGAAATGAGAGGGAGGTCTGGGCATACTCAGGAAAAGGGATTCATCTGGAGATGGAGGAGCTGGATGACACAGGGGAGGTATTTATGGCCTTGGGTGAGTGGCTGTTTCTGGAATGTTGTGAAGATGTGCTAATTTCTGCTCTGCTCTAATTTGTGTCCTGCTCTCACGTGTGTACCAGGACTCATCATGCAAATAAAATAAGTGAGATGGCTGCTGCTTAATTCTGTTTTTTTTTTTTTCTAGACCACTTGTTGAAGATAATGAAATATACATAATAAGCTTAGAAGAAAAGGAAGTTAAAGCTGATTTTTAGACAACTTATCAATTCAAATTGATCTTTTTTCTCTTTTTTCATGTTCTTTTTTTAAAAAATATTTTTTTCTTAAAGATTTATTTATTTACTTGAAAGAGTTACACAGAGAGAGAAGAAGAGGCAGAAAGAGAGATCTTCCATCCATTGGTTCATTCCCAAATTGACCACAATGGCTGGTGCTGCGCCCATCCGAAGCCAGGAGCCAGGAGCTTCTTCCGGGTCTCCCATGCGAGTGCAGGGCCCCAAGCAGTTGGGCCATCCTCCACTGCTTTCCCAGGCCACAGCAGGAGCTGGGTGGGAAATGGAGCAGCTGGGGCTCAAATTGGTGCCCATATGGGGTGTCGGCACTGCACGTGGTGGCTTTACCCGCTATGCCGCAACACCGGCCCCTGAAACAAGATTTATTTATTTGACAGTCAAAGTTGGCACTTAAGATGAAATCTCTTTTCCCAGTCTGTCTTAGTCATATTACCTACTCTACTATGATGGAGTTTCTCTTACAATACCTTTAATAGGTGATTCATGTTTTTATTTCTTACCTGCTTCCAGCTTATCTCTCTAGCTCCCAATTACATGCATTATGAAGTTCAGCCAAATGCAATGCTGAATGGTCCTTAAAGAACTCATTTTTCTAGTATTACTATGTAAGTCTTTGGAAGGCTGTATCAATGCTATCATCCTAAAAATATTAAAGGCATTCTTCAATAAGCTCCCAAGATATGCCTCTGCCGTGAAGTTTCCTAATCAATCATATCTCCCAAAATGTTGTGTGATGATATCTTCATTAAATTCTTTTTTAAAAAGATTTATTTATTTATTTCAAAGTCAGAGTTATGCAGAGAGAGGAGAGGCAGAGGGAGAGAGAGACGTCTTCCATCCGCTGATTCACTCCCTAGTTGGCTGCAACAGCTGGAGCTGCACTGATCCAAAGCCAGGAGCCAAGGGCCTCCTCTGGGTCTTCCCATGCTGGTGCAGGGCCCCAAGGACTTGGACCATTTTCTACGCTTTCCCAGGCCATAGCAGAGAGCTGGATTGGAAGTGGAGCATCCAGGTTTCAATTCGGCACCCATATGGGATGCCAGCACTGCAGGTGGCGGCCTTACCGCCTACATCCCAGCACCAGCCCCTATTAAATTCTTAAGACGCTCTATCTTATAAACTTTGCCAGGTGTTTTAAATTCAAAACTTGAAAAAAAAGTCTTAAGTTTTTGAATTTCATTATGTCCAACATTTTTTGGTTTCAGGAATTCTGTATGAAATGTAAAAAAAAAAAAAACAAAAAAACCAAAAAAAATCAGCAGGTCTTTCTAATGTTGGCTTTCCCAGTGCTGCAGTAGCCTGAATTTTCCTCCTTTACTAGATTTGGTTAGAATTTGATGGTTTCTCTACAGTGCAAAATCACTTAATCTTGCTTTCATTATCTGGTTAAAATCACATCTTAGCAACTATTTTAGAGACTTTTTTCCAATGAAGTATGATTTTGTGCAAAACTAGAGATAACTGTATCTCAGAGCATAACAAATGTACAGACAGCTGCAGACTCACTACACTGGTGATCATAAATTTCATGGTAGAAATGCACTGACACTCCCACTATACTATTACTCATGATAAAGTTTAGAACAAGGCAAGTCTCTTATAAGGGTGCTCAAGTCATGGCTTACTAAAAAAAAAAAAAAAAATTAACTTCCTATGCAGACTCACTCTTGAAAGTGTTGTGTCCAAATACTGCTTTCCATTACAAAGAGGTTTCCATGTGCAGAACTGTGGCATGTTTCTGAACATAGCTAACAACTCTTTTTTCTGAAAAAACAAGTTACCCTACCTTGCATGTTCACGTAAACATGATAGCATGTTTATTAGTCTCAAATCATGGTTCCTTCTAGTCTTTCCTTAGATACAAAACAATTCTCTCCCATTCAAGCTGTCTCTTTTTCTGTTCTTTATGAAATTGGATCATGGCCAGTGATCACTGTTTATATAATTTTCTGACATTATTTGAAAATTTATATTGAATTTTCTGATCTTCTAATGGAAATGATTGTTACTCTCTTAACCTCTTATCAGAACACCTGTTTAATTCCTTTAAAAAATTGTTCTCCCATGAACCTTTTCTGATTCTCTAGGTTTTGTTCAATCTTGAGTTGAATAAAGTAGCTTAATCAAGAGCAAGAGTGTCTGCTATGTTTCAAGGCAGGTCTTTTGGGTACATACTGATGAGGGATTGACAGGGTCAGTAAGGGGAGCAGGATTGAAATAATTATTTATTTGGTCACTCATTCACATATTCAATAATAACCTTTTAGCAGATTCTAAGTGCCAGACAAAGTACTAGAATTTGGGCAATATCCATCTCAAGAGTCTTTAGCTCTGACCCCTTTGTGGCAGACTGACTTGGTATTAACTGATGTGAACAAATTCTCAGGGATTGGTCAGAGAAATTTGCAAGACAGCTCCTTCTATCTTAATCAAAAGCAAATTTGGTCTCTCTTCAAGTATTTAGTACCAGAGTAGCAGAATAGAATCTAGGCTTCCTCAACTCATTCCCAGTTGAGGGAAGGTTTTACTATTACCTGTGCCATTATCGCTTCACACCAGGAGCAGTATCTTTATCCCTTGGAAATCTTGATGTTTCAAAGTTGACCCAGCCTCAGTTTTGTTCCACACCCAGAGTAGAATCCTCATCAAATTTTCTAGACGTTTAGCTGAAAACCCAGCAAGGTCACACCCAAGTAATGCTTCTCATTCCATAGATGATGGAATGTTATAGTCACAGCTTAACAGAGCTTAAACTAAGTCTTCACGGAGCAAGGCTGATTAACCAATAAATTAGCAGCTGTCAAAATAAACCTCAAGACCTTTAGGAGAAAGACAACATGCAGACACTCAGTAATGTAAAATTCACAAAAAATAGTAAAAAAAAGGAAAAAAAAAAGCATTAATCAGGGAAAATTGGTTTAAAAAACAGACCCAGAGATGACCCATTTGTTGGAAACAGCAGGCAGATTTAAAAATTGTCATTATAAATATCTGCAAAGTCCTCAGCAAACCAAAAAACATTATGAATAAATCAGTTGGAATCCAAGGAGAGACATTATAAATAAGAACCAAATGTAAATTCTTGACCTGAAAAAAAATGAGTAAAATAAAAAATGCTCTGGAACAGCAGTTCAGATACTGAAAAAGAAAAGACTGAAGAACTTGGAGAATGGTCAGAGCAATAATGTGAACTGAAACACAGGAAAAACAGCCTTAAAATGTCAAAGACATCTTGATGACCTTTGTCAAGTCATCTAATATAAGTAGTTGAGATCTCAAAGAAGAGAGAGAGAAAAATTTTTGAAGAAATAATGGTCCCTAATCCACTGTTGGTGGGAATGCAAACGGGTAAAGCCACTATGGAAGACAGTTTGGAGAGTCCTCAGAAACCTGAATATAGCCCTACCACAGGACCCAGCCATCCCACTCCTTGGAATTTACCCAAATGGAATTAAAGGGGAGAAAAAATAGCCATTTGCACCTCAATATTTGTTGCAGCTCAATTCACAATAGCTAAGACATGGAATCAACCTAAATGTCCATCGGCAGATGACTGGATAAAGAAATTATGGGATATGTACTCTATGGAACACTATACAGCAGTAAAAAACAATGAAATCTGGTCATTTACAACAGAATGGAGGAATCTGGAGAATATCATGCTGAGTGAAATAAGCCAGTCAAAAGGGACAAATATCATACGTTCTCCCTGATCAAGGGCAACTAAACGAGCATCTGAAAGGAAACCCATTGAAGTGAAATGGACACTATGAGAGACAATGACATGAGCAGCCCTTGTCTAGACTGTTGAGGAACAACTTACTATTTTATTCCTTTTAGTATTTTGTTGTTGTTGTTGTTGCTCTGTTTGTTCTACATAAGACCACTGGTTGAACTCTGTAATCAATACACAATCATTCTTAGGCGTTTAAAATTAACAGAAAAGTGATCTCTGTTAAATGTAGGAGTGGGAATAAGAGAAGGAGGAGATACATAGGTCAGCACATGCTCACTCAGACTTACCTCCAATGGTAGAGCTAGAAATGTGCCAGGGGATTTCAACTCAAACTTATCAAGGAGGCATGTACCAATGCCAGCACACTTGGTAAAGTGATAAGTACATAACGGATCAAAAAGATAGGGTAAGTGTTGAAGAGATTTCACAAATAAGACCAGTGAGTGCAAATAATGAAGGATAGAATTGAAGGGAGAGAATGATCCTGCAGGGGAAGCCGAACACATAGCAGACTCATAGAATGGCAAACTCCCCAAATAGCACTCCAGCCTCAGAATCAACCCTTGGTGCATTCAGATTTGGCTAAAAGGTCCATGAGAGTCTCACAGGTATGGAAAGCCATGACACGGTGGCAAAAACAACCTAAATGAAAGATCCTGGTAAATAAGACCCCAGCGGAAGGAACAGGCCATCAAGGAGGGAGGTGCCTTTCTGTGAAGGGAGGAAGGAACCTCCACTGTGATATGGCACTGACTAAACAATTCAGAGTTGGTGAACTCAAGGGGCTTCCATAGCCTAGACAGCTCATGGCAAGAGTCTTGGGTGATTGCTGACGTCATAAATAAGAGTGCCAATTGTTAAATCAACAATCGGAGTCACTCGGTACATGCTCCCCATGTAGGATCTCTGTCCTTAATGTGTTTTACTATGAAACTTAAAGACAACACTACTAGTTGAACAATATCCTGTACCTTGTGCAGTTGTGTGAGTGCAGCCTGTTGAAATCCTTGCTTAGTATATACTAAGTTGATCTTCAGTATATGAAGGTAATTGAAAATGAAACTTGATGAAGGGCGGGATGGGAGAGGGAGGGAGAGAGGGGAGGGTCGCGGGAGGGAGGGAGG